TAAAATATATATTTACACAAATTTAATAAACTAACTAATAAAAAAATTAGATCGGCCTGTTCCGGCTTAGTGGCATTGAACTCTGGGTTAAGACTGTTCATCTCTAGTGGATTGCACATTCGAATCCCACGGAATCTCTTCCCTCCTTCCCCCAATTAATCTTATAAATAATTACAAATTGTTAAAAAAAAACTAATAAAAAAATTAAAAAATTACATTTTTCTTAGCTGAGAAATCAAAGAAATATATAAAAAAAAAAGTTAGAAAATAAAAACCATGTAAAATTTAAAAGTTAAAAATTAAAATTAACATTTAATTATTTTCCAATCAATCATATAAAACTACGCAGAGTGGCTTATTTAACACAACATTAATAAGGCACCTGACCTTTCGACTGTAATGACATTAGCCATAAAAAAAGGGTAAAAACCAACATTTAGAACATACCTTACAAAATTGATAAGTTTTACCCCTCATCTTATAACATAACATTTTAGGCCCTTTATTTTATAAAATTGGTAGGTTTTAACCTATTACCTTACAAAATTGATAGGTTTTAACCCCTCATCTTATATTATGATATTTTTAGCCTCTCACCTATACGAATTGAAGAAAATAACCCTCACCTAACATCAGGTTATAACATTCTATTAGTTCTGTTAACTGACTGTTAATATCCGTTAGCATTCCGTTATAGAAAAATATAAAATTTAAATTCAATTTTATATATTAATTCCATTGACGGAATGTTAACAGATGTTAACAGTCATCTAACGAATAAATTCTCAGTGAATAGAACTGACAGTCAACTAATATAACTAACAAAATATTATAATCTGATATTAAGTTGAGGTTATTTTCTTCAATTCGTACAGATAAAGGATTAAAAGTGTCATAATATAAGGTAAGGGGTTAAAACTTACCAATTTTGTAAGGCAATGGGCTAAAACTTCCCGACTTTATAAGTTAAAAAGCTAAAAATGTTATATTATAAGGTTATAGATTAAAAATTACTAATTTTATAAAGTAAATGACTAAAATTTAATTTTAGCAAAAAAATACTATAGAGTGGCTTATCAAACACAACATTAATAAGGCACTCGACCCTTTGAATTTAATGACATTAATCATATTGATAAAAAAAAAAAAGTACACTCTCTCCTTCCTCTTTGGACTAGGTTAGATCCCACCCTTATAAACATGTTTAAAAAAAGAAAAAAAATCGCACAACGTTAAAAAGTGTAATTAGCACACCTTTCATTTAATTTTCTAACTTTTATATTCTCTTTTCTGTTTTGTTATGGTCATGGATAGAGCATGATTATGAAGTACTTTTGACAGGACGATCCTACGTTAAAACTTAAGAAGAAAGAAAAAAATAGGCACAAATCTCACTTTAAAAATGTTGCACATTATATTTTATGAGCTTGTACGACAAAAGGGACGGTTCTTGACATCATTTTTTTTTTTGAACAGCGTAAAATCTTTTTTTTTTGGAGGAAGGGGGAATGGGGGACTTGGGATTTGATCCCAAGTCTTTATAGTCCTACGCACGTCCCTTGCAAGAGGTGACCATTTGACCACCGAGTGTGGGACGGTTCTTGACATCAATTACTCATTTCTTGTCTAAAATTTTATATTTTGTAATTAGAATAGTAATTTTTTTATTTAAAAATTTTTATTTTATAATTTAATATAATTTAACTTATAAAATAATTTTTTTTATTTTTTATATATTAGTTGATGTTTGTTTATCTAAAGTTTAAATTGAGTATGAATTAAACTTTCAAATCTAAATAGTTCATTCCTACCTTAAGTAATTTAAGTGAATTAATTGAAGTTTTGAATCTCATCAATATCCTGAAAAATCTCCTTCTTCAATCCCCTAAATTATAAATTGCTCAAAAAAAGAAAAAAGTTTAAATTATTTTTAAATATTTTAACCCATGATTAGTAAGGTATGGTATTAGATTAGACTTATTCAGGTCTCACTAATCAAGAGATAAATTTTGCAATTAAGCTTGTTTGAAAAGCAAAACACTTTTTCCTTTTGATTTTATCTTTACGTAAAAATGAAAACAAGAGATTAAGTTCTCTCTTCATCCTTTTTTTGGGGCTTCTGGATTTCCCCTTAAACACCAAACTAATATTAGAATGCTACATAGCTTACGCCTCAGGGGAAATCAAAGCAAACCTTTCCCCTGTAGTCAATTAATTGTCAAGGAGGGCGATGATGCTCCCATAGCACTGATGTGTTGCCATTAATTACAAAAGAAGCAAGTTGATATCTTCAATTGCAAACCTTGGAGAAACTTATGTCCTTATTTCTCTATTTTGCCATTGATTATTATACAATGTAGTTTTGTTTGAGATGATAATAATACAAGTTTATTAAAAGAAAGTAAAATTCAATTACTTTATATGAACCAAACAAATCTAAAAAAAAATAATACAAAATAAGACTCGTTCAAGAAACAATTTAATCATTATACTAGAGTTAAGTTTTCAAATGTTCCACTTAAGTCCAAGTTTTGCCATTTCAAAGGTGCAGGTGAGCTCACACCTAACATAAACTATTAAAGTAAGCATTAGTTGTTACATTAATCTTTTAAATTATTGGAGAGAGACAGTGTTATAATCAACTTGATCTGGAAAAGACTTTTCAAAAGTAATCATAATAACATAAACATGCCATCGCTTAGGGGATATTTTAGTACTCAATTTATTAGATTTTTTTTTTT